ACTGTCTTCAGTAATAATACTTCAATGACAGAACCCTCGTGGTTCCTAAATTGTTGTAAACTTGATGTTACCGACTCCGTAAATTATCTGGGTGTTATTTTATCAAACGAACTTAGTAGATCACATAAACATGTGAAACACTGAAATGCCAAAGAGTATTTCACTCCCTTCAATGTATAGGCATGTGCAAATGTGGTTACTGTATGCATGCGTTAAGTAAAGCACACGTATGGAACAGTGTGTTGGTCCCTATTCTAATTTATGGCTGTCAATGTATTAACGCCAATACAAATTACCTAAACAAATTAGAAACTACACAGAGTAAGCTTATTAAAGCAACAATTGGTTCACAAACACTGTAAACTACACCTCTGTTACATGCCTTTTAAGCGTTCCAAAAGTAAATGATATCCTAATTACGAGCCTGCTGGACCTTGTCAAATTATAAATATACATCTAAGACAAGATATCTTATGCTTACCCTTCTTAACGATCAGGAGAAAGTTATATTTTTTTTCAAAGAATACACTTGTTGATCAATCGGTTTGTGAATCGATCTGATTTTTCCTTATGCCTCATGTTTATGTATTGGTCAAAAACCGAAAGGTCCACTGATTAATACGATAGTATAATACATACTCCAATTATCGTTCACTTATGCAGGACACTTTTCAGTAGTGTTTTAATTATTTGTTCAATTAGTTTAGTAAATGTGTTTTTAATGTATGTATATTTTATCATCTTCTTTTTTGTAGGTTGATGAGTAAATTTAATTTGAAATTTTGAAAATTTGATTTTAACCACATCACTATGATCGTTTTATAGAAAAGAATGAGGTATGTTCTATAAAACGATCATAATGATATGTTCTATAAAACGATCATAATGATTATGGTTTAAAAAATCATTTTTTTTTAAATGTTATGTCAGCACTTTCAAATTGTCAAAGACACATAGTTTGGAGCCATTTCACTTCTTCGGTTAGTGTCTCTAAGATAGGGCACATCTCTATTAAGAGGAAATTGGCCCATAAGAGTTAAAGATCTTAATATTATTGAAATACTAATAATGTTTACTCAAACAAACTACAGTAGACTACTTAGAGGGCTTTCCACGAGGGCGCTATTTTCGGTCTTTGCAAAATCAGCGGAATTCGAAGACGTTGTGTTGAAAGTAAGTTCTGCTAAATAAGTTGTGAAAATGACGTTTAAATGAGTAACATGAATGCTTTGTCAATTCTAGCAATGCTTAAATGAATGCTTATTTTACGATTGGTAATTAATTTCTTGAATTATATATATGGAAATCTTTTAATTTATGTATCGGCTATCCAGGTACCGGGTGCGACGTGTATCGACCAGGTACCCTACCGGCATATTTTTATGTATGATAGTTATAATACAGCGGCCCGACCTGGTACTACTGGAATTGGCTCGTGTGATCTAGGCCTGGCTAGCCTAGTTTGGAACCGTCCGGAACCTGGTTCGGGTGATGTTTCTTCGTATCATTTACTTGTAAAGTTGAAAATTATAACTCTATGGTTGAAATAAACTTGGCAGATACAGCTAGCTAGGCCTAGGACTAACTATGCCTACCAGTACCAAGATTTGATTTTTTTTCCCCTGAAAATTTAAGATATGAAATACAAAAATATACAAAATATATATAGGCCTAGGGGCCTAATCATATAGGCCTAGGCCTAGACGAGGCCTAAAAAAAGTAACATGTAAAATTAACATAACTTATTTCCATTGTGCCCCTCTTTCCCTCTTAAATAAATACATAACAAATAATAATACAAGATAAAAAAATACAATAACAATCACAAAAACAAAGAAATAAAAACGCCATGGCTAGAGATACGGTACCGTATCGGAACTTCTGATTGCTAAAATAAAGGTACGGTAAATTATATTACGTCATGATTTGCCAATAGAAACGCTGATACATGCGTGACGTCATTCAGTGCACTGCTATTGCAAGAGTAATGAGTGTGTGTTTTAGCAAGGAGGTTTGGTTTTAGCAACCATCGTTCGTTCGCGGGTGTTGTTGATAAGCTGTGATTAATATTCTGTAGCCTGAGGCCCTATAGCAAATAAAAAGGATAGCACTTTTGCTAGATTTGGCAACATCAAGCGAGAATAAACTATTTTAATAGTAGAAGCTAGGCCTTAGCTACTCCTGAAACCTCCTACGCCTAGCCTAGTAGTACGCCTATGCCCTACTAGGCGGGTATTCAGGCTAGGCCCTAGGCCTAAGCCTAGCCTTAATGACCATAAAATACGCAAGAATAACAGAAAGGATTTTTAACCCAAACATTGTGATAAGCCCCAATTGAAATACATGAAATGGGCCTGAAGTTTTATGACATAAATTTGATCGTAACTTTTCGCGCCACGTTTCTCATGATCGCGACGTAGACTCCGCAAAAAAGTCAAAATCGAGTCGGTCATTTCTATTGGCTAATCATGACGTAATATCATTTACCGTACCTTTAGCATTCGGAAGTTCCGATACGGTACCGTATCTCTAGCCATGGCGAAATAAAAAATATACAAATTTACTGTTGCTGAAAACTGAAAAATAATCAGTATTATTATTAATTATTATTAATTATTTTGTTTTTTGCGATTTACTTTCCCATACCTGAATAATGCTGCTGTACAAACGTATGGTGTATCTAGGGGGATGCAGCACCCTGTCTCTCCCAATCCCCTTGAAAATGTTTGATGCAGAAAAACCACCCTCTATAGAGTGAGCAGGTGTCATCATTTATTGCATTCAACTTATTCAAAACATATTTTTCATATATCTTTGATCATGTCTAAATACTAATACTCTACTGCTTTATTTTAATATGATACTATATTTATAATAAGCTATTATTCAAATAATAAATTATGTAGTATGTAGCATCTAATAGATAAGATTATAGTTATTATAATAAATTATTATAATAAGGCTGATATTGTAAATGTCCACTGCAAATTCAAAGTTCACTGTTTGAAAATACTCTGGATAAGTCTGAAGAAGAGTGTTACCAACTTGAATAGTCATACCAACATGGCTGAGTCACTGTCAGGGACCAAAAGTTCTGCTAAAGCTTGTCAAGGCCCACCAAGATAAATTTATGGTTGGCACATTGCCTAAACATGGAGGCATAAAATAACCTATATCAATTGAGTTGAAAATATCCTATAAGTTGCAAATCAGAAGTAAAGGGAAGACAACAGCATAAAAATGTTTGTTGAAAGATAAATGTAGAACAATTCCAATTGAAAATAAATATTTAAATTTATTGATATACAGACTACTGTTAGATCAATTTATGTGTAAGACTTCCTGGTGTAGAATATCAATCCTTCATTGTATATCATGGATCAAAAAATATAGCAACTCATTTCTGCCTTCAATTGTTTGAAATGCCTAGTCATGCCAGAAGCCAAATACAGTAATCGTTCAGATTTGCTGTTTCTATGTAACGGCCAATCTGATTCGTCTAAATATGTGGGTGTGACAGAGGTGTAACCCTGATTATGCATGCATCAGTGAACATACCATACAATACTTATTTGCCACATCACACTGTATAAGCAATATTGTCTGATGGTTACAATGCATAGTTGTCATATTTAATTATTCTTTGATTTTAGGTGAGTTATCCTTAAGCCAATTTTTTATGTTTGCTGATGATGTTTTTTGAACAGTAGAATTGTATACAGTTATATATCTGTCTCTTATACACATCTAGATGTGTATAAGAGACAGACGTCATTCAGTGCACTGCTATTGCAAGAGTAATGAGTGTGTGTTTTAGCAAGGAGGTTTGGTTTTAGCAACCATCGTTCGTTCGCGGGTGTTGTTGATAAGCTGTGATTAATATTCTGTAGCCTGAGGCCCTATAGCAAATAAAAAGGATAGCACTTTTGCTAGATTTGGCAACATCAAGCGAGAATAAACTATTTTAATAGTAGAAGCTAGGCCTTAGCTATACATATATATACATACATATATATATATAAGATGTGATATATATATATGTATGTATATATATATATATTTTCACTTGTTTTTAAATACAGGGATCCTAATTCACGGCAATCTCCCAAGGAAGGTCTCCTAAAAAGAGATTTTTTTGTCAACACTCCGTAACTCACTAGATATACTAATTCCTTATTAATTCAGAGGGTCAGGCCAATGATGAATCACCTTCAGGGGTTTTCACCACTTACTCTACAGGCACTTTTTACCAGCACCCCCCCCCTACAGGCACTTTTTACAGCCCCCCCCCCCCCCTCCTTTCCCATACAGGATCTTGATTACAGGCTTGGTATGTGGTTACCAACAATTTACTGATTCAGGTTTCGAAGGTAAAGCATCTATTGTAAGAATCAAGTAGATGTTTATTGTCAAGTCATCTTTTAATACAGTAAAAAATGTTGTTCTTACCACACAGGAAAAAGCCCTGAAGGATCTCCAATCATCATCATGCCTATTCCTGCTGTGGAGTATCTGAGTGATGAGAAAAAGAAAGAGTTAGCGCAAATTGCCAAATCTATAGTAGCCAATGGAAAGGGAATTTTAGCTGCTGATGAGAGCACAGGTATTGTGTCTGAATTGGAAACCATTATTAACCTTTTTTATCACAATGTATTACTATATTTCTTTAGAGAAAGTATGGTAATTGGGACAAATGTTAAAACACATACTTTCTTGAGAATACTGTATGACGAGGCTTAAAATAACATATTATGATTGAAAAACAGGGGGTTGTCTTATACAATTTTTAAATCATGTTTGTCTACTGAAATGAAGCTACTAACTGTTAGTATGAATAAATACAATTTTAAAGACGGGGAAACATTTAGAAGCCCATAAAATGGTATTATTTGGAAGCTTAACCCTAAATTTGGCTACTTTTTTTAGCAAACTAGATGCATTGTCAAGACGATAAAGAGCAGCAACTAGTCAGAATTCCATTATATTGCATCCCTTTGATTTACAGGCACAATCGGAAAACGTTTTGCATCTATTGATGTTGAAAATATTGAAGAAAATCGTCGTCTGTATCGTCAACTGTTGTTCAGTGCAGACAAAAGCCTTGCTAATTATATCGGAGGTGTGATCCTATTTCATGAGACGTTCTACCACAAGGCTGATGATGGCACTCCATTTGTGGATATTCTGAAGAAACTTGGAATTGCTCCTGGTATCAAGGTAACAACTGGAATTCTGTTAATTTTATTCTAAACATTGAAGATGAATTGAAAGATGATGATTTGACTTTAATTTAATGATTACTTTACTACTAGTACTACATAAGTAAAAATAAATTACCTAAACCTAAATGAATCACATTGTTGTGTCCATATAATATAACTCAAATTTTAAATCAACTGTTGCAAATAAAACAACTATGATGATTAGTAACATAGTTAAATAAAAATTAATAATCAAACTTCCCAACACAATGATAAAATATGTATTAGACACTTGTATGAACTGAGACAACTATATACGGAGATTGGAAACGCGACTGGATTCTATTGTTCTTTAGTTTGTGTGCTTAAGTGAGATGCAATTAAGGTTGTTTGAACTGCAAACGGGCATCTTCCACACACAAGACAAGCGGATATTTTCATGGCGGTATTTGACATATTTAAATGTTAGATTCATAAACATATATATAGCAGTTTAAATGATTGAAATGTATTGTATGCTTGCATAAGGCTACAATAGGCTAGTAATTCAGCCACCCCTACACCCGGAAAATGCCTGAATTGAAGAAACATACTAAACTTTAAGTACTGCTTATACATTTATAAGCACAATCGTATATGTTCTAGAATTATTTACCACAACAGAAAAGGTATTTATTTGTGTAGAGAAGTAAATCATGTTCAGGAATCAAGAGAATATGTATTTTTACTTTAATTGACATATTTTCGTATTACTGACCATTAAAGCAATAATTATGTTGCCAACTTCAACTATTAAACAATTATATCTAATATTCATGAACCATTAGCCATTTGCATGTGATATTTCAAAAGATTAGCTAAACTTGTTTGTAGAGTCATTAAACATCTTCATGGATTACATGATTATAAATATGAAATACTGCCTTAGTTATGTCCTAGTTAAGGCCAACAGTGTGGCCTAGCCATTATAGGCCTTTGGGCGTAGGACCGTTTAGGCCGTGAACAAGTTTGGCTACAATGTATCAAACACAAATTGTATTGTATGTTTTCATTGTGGCTGTAGGCATATGCATACAACCCTAGGCCATCCTAGGCTATATTTCAGGCTAGGCCTACACTTCTAATTAGAAAAATTCTGCAAACAGAAAAAACATTTTTCTTGATTTTCCAGAATTCAATCTTTTTGTTACTGTTCATAACAAGGGCTTGTCAGAAAATCATTCCATATTTGCAAGAACAAAAAAAAATTTGCATCTGCTTTAGGTTAGAAGTTAATGATGATCTACTTTAAATTGAATTTCTGAAGTTTTTTGTTTGTTTTTGGGCAGACAATATATCTTATAAACAAACAAACTAAAATAATCAAATCAAAGGTATAGTTTAACATCTTTGATTAGTATATTTTGGTATATTTAATAGGGACCTTCAATAGGCGTGTCTTTCCACCAACTACACACTTTTTTCTACATGTACAGTATATGAAACAATATCGAAATTAAAAAGAATGGTTTGTCAAACTTGTTGTATACCATGATTTGTTTTTTAGCATGCCTTAAATGAGATGCAAACCATCATACAGGCTGCAACCAAGTGCATCACTAATAGCACAAGTAAACATATTTCACAATTCACATAAGCTAGGACAACTAAACTGTATAATTCTCAGGTGAGAGTAATAAAAGCTATGGTGATTTTATATTTCGATTTTCTTCATTCATATCAAACTTTTTACCCAATTATGTTCACACTAGTGCTTATCTTCTCTCAACTAAATTCTGAGTAACTAGGTCTGAGACCATCAATTTTATTACAGGGTGCAAAACTAATGCTAGCCTGCTTGCCAATGCAAGTGAAATACAAAAATTGGCCAGTGGTTTTTCAATTCCCCCCCCTCCCACAAAAAAAAGTACAGTTCGCACTGTCATAAGCATACAGGAGTACCATACTACTAATATACTATGTTCATCGCGATAAATTTTGTTTTTCTTCATTGTTTTCAGCTTTAGATTAAACATACTGATTGATTATTTTATTGAATGATCAATATAGACCTGCATATTAAACTAGTATTCATGGAAGTTGTGTATGAGTAAAATATATGTATTTAAGAAGATAAAAACTTCGGACACTAAACAAATTTGTGTAGAGCCTACATACAATGGTATCAGGCAGGCTAACCCCTCAGGCCTGCTTGTAGGCTAAGACAGGTGGATTTTTATTGTCTTGTAATTTTGTATATTTAATGAAGATATTGAGTACACCTAGCGCAACTACATTCCCCCCCCCCCCACCAAACCGTAGAACATCATGCTGGCACTGCTTCTGGAATCACCGCTGGTTTCAGGACAAGCCTATTCGGTAGTTGTTTTCATTTACATGGTTTAGTGATTATGAACTGAGCATGAGCAGTAGCATTCGGTTGCCTGTATTTGCATAAAAGCTCCCTACAGTCAATGTATTGCTGGGGTGGAAGAACAAAGGAAATCTTGGGTTGTTTTCAATCTCTGTATGTCGTCGTCTCAGATATAACTAAGCCAAAGTGAAAAACAAGGTACTGAGCATGTTTAAATTCCTAGTGTCATGGTTATCTTGTTTTACTGTACAATACTCTTCATTGTACTGTACCACAGTTTCTCTTACATTTAATCTTCCACTAGCACTCAAAGACACAAACATCTATCACAAAATATTTGATATGTAATAATTGATGTTGTTGCACAGGTTGACAAAGGTGTGGTACCTCTTGCCGGGTGCCATAATGGAGAGGGCACAACTCAAGGTCTAGATGGGTTATCTGATAGGTGTGCTGAGTACAAGAAAGGTGGTGCACAATTTGCTAAGTGGCGTTGTGTTTTGAAGATTTCAGACAACACTCCATCTGAGGTTGCTATGAAGGAGAACGCAAACGTTCTTGCACGTTATGCTAGTATTTGCCAACAGGTATATAAAATATAGTCATTTATACTGTGCTATTTCCAGCAAATTCATAGTGCCAAGTGTCAAATTCAATGTACCAAGAGCGACTGCTCACCAGGTCAGGCCTCTGTGGTTAAATTATTATTTTAAGTTAAATTAAGTTATTATATTGGGTTATTTAATAAACTAGAAATTTTTAAATAATTAGAATGTTTATTTGTTCAAAAAAAACCATTTAAAATGATCATTTGTACAAAATTATAATAAACAAATTGGAAAAAAAAAATTGAATACCAAGACGCGTTTTGAACTCACAACCTTAAGTTCTTTAGAAGACATCCTTAACCGACCTTAAATTATTATTTTAAGTTAAATTAAGCTATTATATTGATTTTTTTAATAAACTAGAAATTTTTAAATAATTAGAATGTTTATTTGTACAAAAAAAAAACATTTAAAATGATCATTTATACCAAGACACGTTTTGAACTCACGACCTTAAGTTCTTTAGAACACATCCTTAACCAAAGGTCGAGAGTTTGAATCATGCCTCGGTGTTAATTTTCTTTTTTAATGAACATGAATGAGAACTGTTTGACAAAATAAAAAAAAAAAATTAAATACACGATTCGAACTTGCTAAATGCGCAATTTGAACTCACAAACTTAGCGACGTGTCCTATATTATTACTACAGTATGGATGGTGCAGTGGATTAACGATGTGTAATTAGGAACCAAAGGCCATGAGTTTGAATTGCACCTTGGTGTTAATTTTCTTTTTTAATGACAAAATGAAAAAAAAAATAAATATGCAATTCTCACAATCTTAAGTTCTTTAGAACACATCCTTAACCAACCGCACCATTTATGCGACATGCACTATTAGTGGTAAATGGCAGTAATGTACAATCCTTGATGAAACCTATGTTTCGTTTTGTAGCTGTAGGGAGTTCCCTGGGGTTCAACTTTAAAAAAAAAAGGGCGATGAACGGTTGTTGGAAATCACCTGTAGTTTATGTGTACAAAATTACATGCACTTTCGTTCAAAACAAATGATGCTGAATGCTATTAAAGTTTGAAACCACTGTTTTGTTTTGTAGGTGTAGGGAATCCCTGGGGTCCAAATTAAAAAAAGGGCGATAAGCGTTTGTTGGAAATCACTTGTAGTTTATGTGTACAAAATTACATGCACTTCCGTTCAAAAATGGCGACGCTGGACGCTTTTAAAGTTTGAAACCCCCGTTTTGTTTTGTAGGTGTAGGGGATCCCTGGGGTCCAACGTAAAAAAAGGGCAATGAAAGTTTATTGGAAATCACATCTAGTTCATGTGTACGTGTAATTTCATACACGTTTGTTCAAACCTGGCAACGTTGGACGCTTTTAAAGTTTGTAAAGTTTTGGTAACAAGACCAATAGCAAGAACAGCAGTGGGGCTCTGGGTCAGCGCTTTGCTCGGACCAAGAACTATAAAAGTGTAGGATCCCATTCTGATTTATACAATATTTATATCAACTATGATATTTATCAATATTTAAATAGTTTCATCACTTTGCTTATTATTGTTGTGGAACTGTTTTAATCGTTATAGACACACTGGATGTTAACTGGAAGTCATGTTGATAACATCAACGAAAGCTCGCATTAAGTTAACATCCATTGTGTTTGGTTTGTTATTGTTTATTAACAGTTCTACAACTGTGATATTCCTCGATAAAAAATATATGGTTATAAAAAATATGTAATTAGACAATTAAAAGTCTCTTGACTTTTCTGGGTTATCCTTAGTGTGTATCACACACACAAATTCCAATTCAATCTAAATTTATTTTGATTAGCCACCCCAAAGGAGAGAAGCTCCGGGGAAGCTCTTGTTTTTGCCCGTGTTCTGCTTCATGCTGTTGTCGTCGTCGTTGTTGTTGTTGGGTAAATTGCTTGTTACCACGATAACTAAAGTTTGGTAAGTCTGATTGGTTTCAAACCCGGCAGAATTCAAGATGGTAATAAGAAGACGGGGCCTATTGTTTTTGGTATGTGTTTGAATACGCTAATTGCTCATTTGCATGATTAATATTTCACTAATCAGGTAATTTAGGCTAGTTACAATGATAACTAAATTGTGTTAAATCTAATTGGTTTCAAACTTGACTGAATGCAAGATGCTAATAAGAAGGTAAAGGAGCCTATTGTTTTTGGCACTTGTGTGAATATGTTAATTGATAATTTGTATAATTAATATTTCACTAAGCAGGTAATTTAGGCTAGTTACCACAATAACTAAAGTTTGGAAATTCCAATTGGTTTCAAACTTGGCAGAATATAAAATAGTAATAAAAAGACGGGGCTTATTGTTTTTGGTGGATGTGCAAATATTCTAATTATTCATTTGCATAATTAATATTTCACTATAATCAGGTAATTTAGGCTAATTATCATGATAACTAAAGTGTGGTAAGTCTTGTTGATTTCAAACTTAGCAGATTGCAAGATGGTAATAAGAAGACAGCATATTGTTTTTTTGTGAATATGCTGAGTTGCTCATTCGCATAATTAATATTTCACTAGTCAGATAATTTAGGCTAATTAACGCAAGTCCGATTAGTTTCAAAGTTGCCAGAATGCAAGATGTTATTAAGAAGATTGAGCCTATTGTTTTTGGTACATATGTAGTTTTTGCATAATTAGTATTTCACTAATCAGGTATTACTGTATAGGCTAGTTACCGCGATAACTAAAGTTTGGTTAATTCTTATTGTTTTCAAACTTTGCACAATGCAATATGATAAAGCGACAGTATTTTGTTTTAGTATGTGTGAATATGCTAATTGTTCATTTGCATAATAATAGTTTATTGATCAAGAAATTTACAGTATAACTATTCTTCATGTTATTGTCACTGGTGTAGAAAATTGTTTGTTACCACGATAACTAAGTTTGGCAAGACTTACTGGTTTCAAACTACTACTCATCAATTCTCAGATAAAAAATCACAATTTGGGGAGACTATGCTTTTATTGCGCAGTATAAAAGTAGCATTTCTAGCTCATTACTTATATTTAAATACCGCCAATAGTGAATTTATTATTTTTCAGAATGGTCTTGTGCCCATTGTTGAACCGGAAGTGCTAACAGATGGTGATCATGATTTGAAGAGGTCACAAAAAGTCACTGAACAGGTATAATAAACATTTACAGAGACTTACGGTATACACTCTCTGATGTAATAGCAACCAAGTCAATTACTCCTTTTAGCTCATTGTGTACATATCCCATATGAGTTAATAATCCCGCCTGTTTTATAATGGGGAGCTATCGGTTTGTGTGACGACGTAACATTAGAACGGTTTTAGTCACCTGTGACCGTTTTCCATCCTCTGCACAATGTAGATTCAGTCCAAACTGCATCCTAGAAACCAGACAACAACAAGAACTCAACATCAAACATATGACATGCCTAAATATGGTTATCATGACATCGCATCATGACCATATATATCCCGGTATTCTTAAAACAAACTTTAGTCGTAGTTCGATCTAAAATTTAAAAATGATGTCATTTCGTATTCATAAAACGAACATCGACTAGCACTACAACTAAATGACGCTAACCTCGACTAAAATGATACCTCCGCAGACCGATTTTTTTAGTCAGCCTAGGGTCAGGCTAAATGGCCGACTTGAAATATTTACCCCACTAAAAACGTGTTTTTGTAACTCACAATGAAGTGAAAAAATAAAAACAATTGTATATGCAGGTTTGATATATCTTTGGTGTGTTAAACAAAAGAGACATCAAGTTTAGCTTCCAAAAGGAGAAATTAACATCTTTTCCTAGCCACATGCGATAGTTCCTGATTTGCACGAAATCCACTTCCGTTGCAATCACCTAGCTTCACCATAACAACACCAAAGATGGCACCGCCCTCGCTTGGGCTCAACTATAATAACTTTCCAAAGAAAGCAAATTTTCAGTGACTGCAAATTCTTTATCGTAATATGTTAACAACTAATATAGTTATTATTATAGAAAATTAATTAAGCGAATGATGTTCTATTATGAATTATGGGGAAATAGGTTTTTGAACCACAGACGGCAGCTTAGTATTTATCCGCGTTACCGGATCTCTAAAATTTCGTCCGCTATTAAAGTTAGCTCTTTTCATTTCTTAGTTTGATAGTCGTGGCCTGCCAGTCGTCTTCAGTTGATCTAAAACTAGGACTTGATTTAGTCGTAGTTAAAACTTTGACTACATTGTTTGTGAATACAAATTGAAGTTGAAGTTGCAACTAGCACTAAATGAAGTTCTAGTTTGAAATTCGACTAAAGTTTGTTTTAAGAATACAAGCGATAGTCACATCATGAATATATATGGGTATATTATACAACAGTTTTTTTTAAAAGAAAATTTGATAGTTTGGAAAGAGAGCTTAACATTCGATTCTGAAAACAATATCAACACTTCGAATTACTTATGTCTATGTATTTAGATATCACAGATGTACAGTACTCTATATACCAATTACTATTATCTTATCACATGGTATGCAATTTAACACAATAGTTTGCCTTGAATTATTGAACTTGTAATTTTACAAAATCACTACTGTATTCATATCATACATCAATTATATATTATTATTATTAGGTGATACGCTGCTACAGTGTATCACCTATTGTTTTTCTTAAGATTTTTCTTTATTTCTTTTTTTTTCATTCTTTCCCCGTTTTTTGTTCACTGCTTTTCTCAAAAATGACAAAGGCTTTATCCTTGCAAATTGGCCAGCACATAGATTTACATCTGAAATTTTGCATGGCACTTCTTGGGTGCCGCCACAGTCATGTGACATCATCTATGCCCCATTTTGTGGAATTTTAGTATTTTGCGTGTGCGTCATGACGTGCGTGTATGCATGCTTTAAAATGTATATTACATATTCTGAAAGCACATGAGTTGTAGATATAATTTTATAGATCATTATAGATAATCTGACATTGTGAGGTTATCATATTGCCATATGAATTCCAAAAAACTGAATTTTTATTATTAAGGTCATAATTGTTATACGCATTAGACTTTATCTTGGTCATCCTTGGTCAATCGTCTCCCAAGTTTTAGTATTTTAAAGCTGAGACAATTTCCTTTCATAATTGTGCCCTCCATTTTCATTTTGATTGCATCATCATTGTCAAAATTAATGTTTTTTCTGACACTCCCCCCCCCTTGCATTTTCTTCCTATCAAATCTTTGTGAAATTTTAAGATTGATCATAAATTCCTCAGCAATAGGCAATATTCAACATTAAAATAAAAAT